TCGGCTTCAAATATAATTTGTCTGTTGTATTGCCTATAACCCAGAAGAATCAATCCCAGAGCCAGATTCGATCCAATTCCGATGATATTCTACCAGGTTTTATAAGAATCGTGTAGTAGTATTGCTGAAAACCTAATCATGGAATGACATGCGGATCTGTGTGTCAGAAATTAGTCGAATTTATGTGTTGGAATCTGACAAGATCCTAATATCGGAAACGGATCGAATTTTAGTGTTGCGACTCAGTTAGATCCTATAGTAGAATATCGTTAGAACGTAACAGAGCCCTATGAGCACTAATCTGAGCTTGAAAAATGAGACTAGCCGATCACCTAACTTAATAAGACCACATTTTCTCACAATCATATCTTCTCAGAAACCATTCTAAAATATTGACAGTCGGATTCGTTAATACATACCTGCAAAGGTTCCTATCTATCAGACTTAGGACAGCTCCATAGCAGTTCCTATTTTGAGAACTGTTAGAACAGTTCTTTAATAGGAACTGATCTGTCCCTACCAGTTCTTTGATAGACTTTAGAGGAGATCAGTTACCGTTCCGCTACCAAGTAACTGGTAACGGAAGCCAGCAAAAATGAGAGTGAGCTGTACACTGCTCTATTGACTAATCACACTCGATAAAGCTGTTTCTCAGCTATTGTAAGGACAAAACGTATTCATGTTCGGGTCATATGAAAGAGGGCTACGGATAAGCCCATGATCGGCTCGAACATCATTATGATTTGCCCTTACAATAGCTGAAAAACAGCTACCTTAAATCTCATTGACTGATGAAAAAACTATTGACTAATCAGATTTCAGCACGTTTTCTCCTACTATTGTAAGGGCAAAGCATCTTGATGTTCGGGTCAATCATGGATTTTATTCAGGGTCCTCTATTGTTTGACGCGAACATGAATACATTTTGTCCTCACAGTAGCTGAGAAACAGTTTCCTCAAGTATGATCAGTCAATAGTGTGGCGTACAGTTCACGCTCGTTTTTGCAGGCTTTCGTTAATCGGTAACTGGTAACAGATCCGTTACTAGTTGCCTGGTAACGCAGCTGGCTAGTAACAGTAACTTTCCTTCCATATTGGTCAGTATACTCAGTTCCCGAAAAAAAATGGTCCCTATAACCAGTTCTTGGAAAATATGCAGTTCATAGAACTGAAAACTGTCCTAGCCCTACTATCTATGTAAGTATTGTCTGTTAAAAAAAATAATGACCGTGATTATTTTTCCAATAACTCAAGAAGGAAAAGAGCTAAAGAGCTGCGGTTTTCGCCAGTCGAAAAAGGTGACACTAGAGCATCTTTTTCTCCAATATTGTATAAGACGAAATCATTTTAAAATCAAACGTTTTTACAAAACATTGAAAAAAGGTACAAAAATTATCTGTCGTTCATATGAAATATTGACAAAAAGTAAGAAAATTTGCTTAAAAATGAAGAGAAATTCATACTTTCGGAGGGAGTAAATAAAGAATTTGGTTTTGCTTAACGTTATAATGCGTAAAGATGATCATTCAGATTATATCTCAAACTATAGATCTAAGGTCCCTCTATCCAAGTCATATATCAAAACCAACATTTTATCGTAATGACAGATCGTTTTTCTGCATTTTTTTGCAATGTTTTGCAGAAATGATTGATTTTCAAATGATTTCGTCTTATACAATATGGAGAAAAAGATATCCTAGTATCACCTCTTTCGATTGGCGAAAACCGCAGCTCTCTAGCTCTTTCCCTTCTTGAGTTATTGCAAAAATGACCACGGCCATTATTTCTTTTAACAGAGAATAGAAATAATATTTTAAAAATGTATTCTTTAATCCACAATCAGCTGACGGCACGAAAATTTTCACCTATGATCAAATATAGTCGGTGTTCAATTCGCTATTTACTGAATGATCCTGGCCTATTTGACAATGTACAGGATGTGTACTTTTCTTTTGATGAAGATTGTTGTTCTGTATCCACATGTAATGACTTCTTTTTTATTTGCTGCAGTCATTGTAATCTTGTACTTTGCTCCATCCATTTTTCAGTCATCGATCATAAGCATTAGTAAAATATTCTTGTGATGATCCTCACACAAGAAATCACTTCTTGGTACTAATTTAAAAGGAAAAGCATGTATTTTTCTGAGTCAACTCTTACACTGCACACACCAACGCTACGAATCATCGGATAGAGCATTGAATTCTACATCGATTCGTTTCAAAGAAGTCTATCGAAAAAGAAATTTATTGTTGCCTCCTATTTGTCATTTGATTGACGATCAGTGGTAAGTTAGCTGAAAGTTCTGTTCCACTAGTTGTTTGATGATTGATAAAGAACCACATTATTCGGTACATGGAATTTATTGTATACCAATCGATACCGTTTTTTGAAATACTATAGAACTGTATATTTTTCAAATTCCTAAAAATGTTTGTCACCTATGAAGTTCCTGGAAGACTATTATTAAGACATGATTCTGTACCTTTTTAACTACTATGGATGTGGGAGAAAGAAAGAAGTGGATCCACACCCACCCCCAAAATAGGCAGCTTTTTGAGCCATACAAGAGTATATGCATGAAACATTAGACAAAAGGCTGTTAGCGTAACTCTGTGTGGGATTAAAATGTGAAACACGATGTTGTTGCTGGTGCTAATCATAAGAAGATTGTTTTATTCTATCTATTTTGAGACCCAGATATATGGCCTTTGATTGCATATGAACAACATCAGTGATGATTGTTGAGTAATGTGTGTCACAGTCTGCTGGAAGAGAGAGGGCGATCCAAATGTTTACCTCTGTATTTCAAAGCTCCTTTTAGATTGTATTTCACAATCGATTTTACTGAGCTCATAAATGCCAGAACAACAACTGCAGACAAAATCGTGCTTGGCGCCAATTTTGACGTAATTAAAGACATCAATAACTCAAAAGGATTACATTCATTTGGCTTAAACGTTTCCTAATCACAGCTAATATAGCTACTCAAAATTTATATCCTATTTGAAAGCATTAAAACAAACACGTAGCCAAGATATGAAAGAACTCCTTATTTTACCTTCGTAACATACCATTTTTAACGGTTTTACAGCATTAACATTTAGTATATTAAACTACTTCATAAATTCTATTTTGAATATGGATTGCAAAGTACGCACTTTGCTTTATTGGTGAGGGAAACAATTAGACTTCTAACATCTTTTGTTCGAACACAGCAGGTTTCGAAATGTGTCCATATACTTATACATCGTAGGCTATACTATATCTAGTGACAATTGATGTTTTTAAAATGTTGAATTTTCAAATTTTGCTGTATGTTGCCTGACGTTATGTAGTATTGGTGACGGTATTTTTCAATTAAGTGGGTTCTTTCATGTTTCTTAACATACTATTCATGATAGAATCTATTCTAGTTATTAATAAATTAGGAGATAAGCAGAGCTTCTATGCTCTACTACAAAAACTAGCTATCTCTTCTAAAAGAAAACAAAGCAAAACTTCGTACTCCAAGAGTATTCCAAATCTATTGTGAAACAATTGTTAGCTATTTTAGTTCTATCATAAAGGTATACCATGAGAGTATTGATTTGACTTTATTCAATAGAACGTTATTTCAAATAAGAATTTAAATACATCATTGTATTTGAAATCTGAACATAAATGAAGTCTGATATAGAAAAATGGAAAATTCCTGTGTTGAGAAATATTTGTACTTCGATCAAGTCTCAACAAAAAGAAGAATTCTTTAGAGGCTATGCTAACTTATTGATTATTTACTTATACGCTAAGTATCAGCTTCATAGTTTAAAATCATTTGTGGAACCCTCTTTAGATACTCTAAGAAAACGTACCAAATATCCGTTATTGCAGTTTAAAACCAGTCATTTTTTTCTGAGTTTTATCCATCTACCTAGCACCGTGACAATTGACAAAAAAAATACTTTCTCGAGAAAAGTGGTTGGATACGTATGGATTTACTCTAATGCCGATATCAAAATGAATTAGTTTGTCCTATTTATGTATAAAATCATGTGATGATCAACTATTCATTTTTCTATAAAAAGTATCTACTGAAAGCTCAGTCAAGTAAAACTTGTCTTTTGTGTTTAAGAATGTGTTTATATCTTAGCATTAATATTATTTTATAGTCTTATTTGTTCAAAATTGAAACGTCAAGATAAATAATAGAATAAGTTTTTTTCATACAATAGAAAAAAAGAAAATTTTTGATTTATTCAGTAATATACGATTACTAAAAATATATGACGTAGTTAATGCAGAACTAAATAAAGAACTAATAAGATCAGAAGAAATTACTTTGTCTCGTGTGAGATAGAAATAAATGTAAATTAATGATGGACACGATATGTGTGCATGTATTCTGATTTTCATGGTTTCATCTTCTCAAATCTGCTCTCTTTAATTTCCATATTATACAACAGGGAATTATATCAAAATCATATCGCATTCGTGCATAATTTTCATCATTGAAACAACGAAATGAAAATGAACACATGCAAGAATCGTTTTAATATATTATCTTCGAGAACTAAGAAAAGAACAATATCTTGAAGTTACAATTGTATGGGTATTTGTAAAATACACTCTCAGCCACTTCAACCGCCGTTTAACTTGAAGCTAAACGGCGATTGAAGTGGCTTAGAGTGGGTTAAAACGTATTTTACAAATACCCCAATTGTATATATGCAGAAAAATTTCACTAATACACATGTGAACAAAATTAATGTCCTTGAAACTTTAGTGATTCAATCCTATAATTCAAATATGATAATTGTTAATTTGAATTTAGAACAATATTTATGGAAATAATATATTTATTTTATTTTTCGCTTTTATCTTATACAATCAACATCTAGAACAAAATGTTGACTTATTTCTACTAAACAAACATATATCAAATCATAGCTTGTCACACACTCAAAAGAAAAAAAACGACTGAATTAAACTTTAATATTTCAATTAAATAATGTATCTTATTATGTTGTTGGATAATTACGTGAACGCATTGATGAAAATGAATGTTGATTATCATTCTAAATTTAAAAACAAAATTGGAAATAATTAGAATTTTTTAAGTAACTAAAAATTGCTACTTCATGATATGAGGATGAATTGGATTTTGATTGTTGATTATCACGTAAACGCATATTATCATCTCTTAAATCACTAATGCGATTTTGTAAATGTCGAATAAGTGAATCTTGATTTACTTCGTCAACGTTATTCGAAGGTATTGGTTCGAATTTTACCTTAGAAAAAAAAAGAAAAATAATAATAAAATTTTTCTTGAATAATTTTGTCAAGAAAAAAACCTTTTTAGGTGGTTCGACATGATATGATGTCATTCGTTCATCATGGTGGTTTGAATTATTTAATGTAATTCGTTGTTTAGTCAAACTAAAAATTTTTTAGAAATAATTTATTTATTTATTAATCTATAAACCAACCGATCAAGTTCAGTTGCAATATGATCTTCAAGTTTTTGTACAAGATTATCAATGGTATCATTTTGTTGAGATGATAATTGAAATGGATTATACGAACTATTATGAGAACGATTTTCACATGTTTGTGATAGACGATCATTTTCCTAATTTGAAATTGAATAAAAATTTAAAAAAAAAATTGTTTTTCGTTTATTTTTACTTTTCTATGTTTTGAAAGTGAACTTCTTGTTGTTGATTGTTGTTGACGATTATCATCATATGTTCGATTGGAATAATCTGTTGTCTAAAAACATATTTTTTTCTTTCATCAAAATAAAACGAAATAAATTAAAAATTTACTTACACGATCTGCTAATACTTTGGATTTTTTTAAAAATTTTGTTTTTGTTTCAATTTGTACTCTTTGTTCAATTATATAATTACGAATATCATCAACTGTGTCTTGAAGTAATTTCTATTTATAGAAAAAAGAAATATATCACTAAGACATATGATCGAATATCAAATTAAATAACATACAAGTACACTTCGAGTTGGTAATCGTTCAACAATCGATTCACGATCATATGTAAATGATGAAATATGTCTTCAATAACAAATAGAAAAAAAAAATGAAACAAATTTATAAATAAAACAAAACAATTTATACGGAATTGTTGCATAAACGTGTGATGGACTATCCATAGCCATGAGTAATTTCTTAATTGAATCAGTTATTGAACGAACACAAGTTTTTTCCGAAGTTTCCAAATTAAGAAATAATTCATGTTGACGTAATGCTGCATCAGCATTTTCAGTTGAAACTTGATCTAATGTTTCTTCTAATTCTCGAACACGTTCTTGTATACGAGTAAATTCAGTGTCTTTTTCCTATTTTAATCATTATTTAATGGATTTTAAAGTATCTAATTAAGATTGAGAACAAAAAGAGAAATGTCTTTAGGCATACTTCCTTCTTGAAACGAAACGATATGCAGTTAAACAAAGGAAAATACTCGGCATTCAGAATATTATTATTTATATACGGAAGTTTTTCTTTGAAGATCACTATTAATCTTAAATGTACTGACGTCTTTCTTCTTTATTGGCAAGTCTCAAATAAAAGTAGATCATTATTGATATGAATTCATTTGTTTTTCTAACTCATAAAACATCTAAATAACAAATGTTTATTTAAGCATGTAAGGAAGTTTGATTACGGTGTTTAATCGTAAGAGCCATTTCAATGGCTTTGTTAAGAGAAGGTCGAAGTCACTTACGAACAAAAGCACTGAAAGGTTCAGTTGATTATTACTTCAGAGAGTAGAAGGTAAAGTGAAGAACAGGATAGAATAAAATAATTCATTACGTCAAGAATTTGTTACAGTAAACGCAACTATTGTGCTGAATTTTTTCATCATGTATATAACAGTTACAGTTTCTAATAAAAAAAATCTTGTGACGAAGTTATTTTACACGTTCTTACTCATGACATTTCTAAAAACAGTGGACATTTTTGCAACTGTGAATCGCATAATAACAGATCATCCTTATCTATATGTAATAATGATGAATTTGATCTTTTGCAGGAGATACTAAATGTAATATTATCTTTTCCAAAAAATTTGTTCATTGGTATTTTAATTGATAAAAAATCTATAAGAAATACATATATTTATGGAGTCATCTATATCCCTAATAGAGGTTCTATGTAACAAATTTTATTTACCTGAACAGATGTGAAATAGAGAAAGTTAAAATCACTTTTAAATAAATAGAATTTTTCTTTTCTTTACATACTTGTTGAAATTGATTACGTAGTCGAGTAATTTCATCTTGAAATTCTTTTCTACACTGTTCTTTAGTACCATAAACAGCATTGATACGTTCACGACCACTTTCTTTTAACATTAATTTAGCTTCACTTGATTGCTACGATGAAAAAAAAGAAAAAAAAAACTATATAATTTTATTTCTTATAGGAAATAAAAATTAAAACTACCATTTGTGCATCATATAATTTTTGTTCTAAACGTTGACAACGTTCATGTTCAACATTTAATTGCTGTTGTAAATCTTTTAATAGGCGAGTTTTTTCTTCTTCATATTTTGCTCGTTCACCGGCTAATAAAAGTTCTTTATGTTCGTTCCAAACTTTTCGTTCACGTTCCATTCGATCTTCCATCTATTTAAACAAATAATCTTTTTTTTCTTTTTGAAATAACAGAAAATTGCAAACCTGTAACAAAGCATTTTTGTGTGCTGATGTTAGAGCAATAAGCTCATTATCTTTTTCAAATAACAATGCTTTTAATTTAGCAATTTCACGATCTTTAGTCTATATATGTATATAAAAATACAAATACATCACTACTATTTTTAAAAATAATAACAATAAAATATATAAACAATTCTTACAAGTACATTCCAATTAGAACTAGCACTTGAACGTTGAGAAGTTGTACGAACAAACTTTTAAAAACAAACAAAGCAATAAAAGTAATAAAGTATTGAAATGACTAATTGATTTGGAAAATATCTTACCGATTGTTCAGCAGGAGCACAAGAAGAACGTGATAGATCATTTTGATGACTTGTATCAACAATTTCATTTCTAATCAGTTATTTAATAACAATAAATGATAAATTAAATGTTGAAATTAAATAACATACCTTAATGATTCAATTGTATCATTTTTTCGCTTGAGTTCATTTTCCAATACTCGATATTTCTCTTCGAATGTTTGTCGTGGATGATGATGATGATGGTGATGATGAGAAGAACGTCGATCACTCATGTTTCTTCTATGCAATATTGTGTTTATATTTTCCCTCAGTTCATTGCATCAAAACCAGTATATACGAATGTAAGAAGAAGCTTTTTTATATCAATAAAAAAAAACGTAAAAGTGAAGTGAAGCTCTAGATGATGAACGAAGCCGAGATCAATAAGATGATGGTAATGGTAGTAAAATATTTGAAAGCGTGCTGTTGTCGATGTACATTTCTTTTGATTCTTCTTACAGCACACAACCGCAACTTTAGCGAGACATGCACATATCCTTTCTCGTTTCTCTTTTTCTCCGTCTCCCTACAAGCTCTTTTGTTCTCGTCAAAACGACTCTCTTTCTATCCATCTTTCTTTTACTTTTATTCACACCTTTACGCCTTTTAAAGTGCTACTATGCTTTCATCGTGAAATAGACTTGTTGTATAGTCAAAAAAGTCATGTGTATAGTTTGTCGTAAAGCAATTGTATTTTACAATTAAACGAATTCGGACATATATGTTTTACCTCAAGAAAAAAGAACAATTTTATCCAAGACAATGCCTAGACAAATAGTTGGCTATTTATATTCCTAAGAGGAAAGAAAAAACTCGAATCAAACTGACAACCAAAAGAAAAGAAAAAAAAAAGAAAGAAAACTTCTTTAATTGGATCTCTTGATCCTACTGTTGTATTTTATTATGAGTTTATTTTTCAGAACACACATGCAAAATGCAAAGAAAAAGAAACGATACAGATTATGTTATCGGACGCACATATATGAGGAATCTACACAATAAAAACAATGGAATTCATCACCGTCAGACAATAAAAATTTTCATTTGAATGTAACTCGTTGAACAACTCCTGTCGATGGTATTGCTACATCCGATATTGCTCTTCCACGCATATCTTCATTTTCATCAATACTTGTACGATAAATACTCATTCCACCAAAATGTGTCGTTTCATTATGACTACCTGTACTATCTTCAGGTGTTTTCGTTGGATCATGATCATGTTTATCTGATCCACTACCTAATATATTACTTATTGTTCCACCAACAACACTTGAACTTGTTCCACCATGACGTTGAAATGCTTGCATGGAAAATCGACGATTTTTTCGTCTCTGTCCATGTCGTTTTGTTAAATGTGGATTATCTTTACGCATTGTTTTCGTTTTTAAAACATGTAATGATGTATATAAACGTTTTAATTCCGCCTCAAAGAATAAAACAATTCAATATTAAAAAAAAAAAAAGATTAAAAAATATTATTTCTTACTCGAATTTCTTCGGGGTCCATATCGCGTATATTTAATTCACCAAATTCAATATCACCATTCGATTGTAATTTTGTAACTAAGTCTGTTGTTTCAACACCATCAGGTAATGAACGAAATCGATCTCGTCCAGTATATTCTTCATTAATTGGACGAAATATATAACATAACTAAATTAATTAATTAAAATAATTATTTTCAAAAAAATAATTATTTTTTTTTTCTATTGATATTTACTTTTGTACAAAAAATAAATATTATCATACATGTGACTGTACAATGACATCGACAAAATGATAACATAAAAAGGGTATCTGGATCAATTGATGCCCATAAACAATCTCTATGATAATGAATAAGAATTTTTGGTTTATTAAAAGAATTATTCTTTGTTTTATTTTTGAACTTACTTAATAACATGAAGTAATGTTGAGAAAAGCATTTCACAAACAATAACAATTGTAATTAATTTACGCTCATGATATTCACATGGAGCTGTTCGTGTACTATAAATAAAACGGATTCCAACACAAAGAAAAATAAATTCCGCTAAAAAAAGAAAATAAACAAAATTGAATTAAAATTTTAATTGAAATTCCAAACCAAATTGTACAAGATAATCCCATGAACGTGGTCGACATGCTTGAAAATAACGTTTATTTTTATAAGTAAAACCATGTCCTAATAAATATTCTTCAAGTGAAAGATTTTCATATGCATGATCAATATTAACAAATGTCCAACCCAGTAAATAACCAGTAATAGATATTGATATAAAAAATAATATTCGTAAAATATCTTTTTCTTTTACTTGTACACAATGCGCTTTACGAGATTGGAATTCTGCTAGCATTCTGATTAAAACATTAAAATAGAAAAAATTTCTTCTTTTTTTTTGTAAACCTTACTTATAAATACGTAGGATTAATGTACCGTAAACAATTGTAAAACCAAGTTCACGAAGCCTTAAAAAGAAAAGAAAGAATATTTTTATGTTTATGAATACACAAAGAAAGCTTATAATTTGAATAGTAAATGTTTATTCATGGGAAATTAATACAAACACTATTGAAAACCTTTCAATTTGTTTAGATTCCTTGTCTTTTTTTTTGGCATAAGAGATATTCATTAGATATTGATTTTTTTATCAAAACATGACCTAGTTTTGAACACTACTGAATTACATATAAATAATTATCTGTTGTATTGATAGATCTTATAGACTTTTCTATATACCGAAATATTTTGATACGATCATAATAGTTGCCAAATATCCAACTAACAGATAAAATGTATCTAAAGTTGCATCTTTAATACTTGATATTTTTACTACAAATAAAGTTTACTAAAATCCTGATTGCAAGCATCAATCCCAAGGTCGATTAGTATAAATGCATTGAATTTTGAATAAAAGAAACCTGCTGTTGTTTTTTTAGGACATCGAAAAGTACTTTTCTATTTTGCCATTATTTTGAAGCGTTAATATCAATACTTTTATTGGCAAACAAAGCTCCAGATGTCTTAACTGCATTACAAACAGGAGACACCAATCTATTGTGATCCTGAGGCGCAATGACATTTCCATTATCTAGAACGATCTTGGTATAGATCTCCGCTTTAATCAATGGCCATAAGCGTGAAAAGTTCAGGAAATACTTGACTAGATCTGAGAACTCAATGAAGAAATTTTCAAAGCAAATGTTTGAAACTAGTTATCGGCTATTTTTTTTTGACGACTCTTATGCTAAACATACCCATAGATAACTTTCTAGATCAAACAAACTACAATCGTTTGTTCTAATTTTTTTTTATGGATGATAGAGGCAGTGTTAAACTCTCGAATGAAGATTCAAATGATGCGAGATTTAGTACTAATGTTGAATTATCCTTGTTTTTAGTGCTTGCGATTAGGATTCACGGCGCTTTATTTGTTGATAAGATATAGGACTAAACGATTCATATTTAGATATTTTATTACTTAGAAGCAAGATTTTTGACTATTACTTTAAATACGTTCTTTTCAAGAATAATAAATTTTTCCTTATAAATGCCCATTGTTTGGGTTTATATGATGTCAATTGACAAGAAAACTACTATTCATATATATACATATGTATATATGTGTATATACATATATACGAATTAACAACTGATAGACAATCGATTGTCGTCAAGCTTTTCTTTTCACGTACCAAGGCATTATTAAACAAACAATTCCATGTGGGCCAAAACTATCAACAATAACCTAAAGAATAATATTTACAAAAAAAAACGAATTAAATAAATTACCGATAAAAAGTCAAATATAAGTTTTTCTTACTGATGCATAAAGTAATGCAGCTCCAAAAAGAACTAATTCAAGTAAGATCCACATTGAATGTTTAATTATTTTAATTTTACGTCTTTGAAATATAATAGCAGCAAGTATAGCAACAAAAACAATAAATATCGATTGAATAAATATAATTATTGTACGTAAAAAGCGATTATATTTTACTAAGCATAAATGTGGATTACATTCACATGTATTGACGTGGGATTTTGGTGACATATCATTATGTGTTTCATTCCATTCTAACTCTTGACCACTAATAGTCATTGTTGTATTATCATGCGGACCTTTACAAAAACATTCATATGCGCCTAATGTAAAGCCTTGTCCAGCTTGATGATAACACTAACAAAAGAAAAATTGTACAATGTATAAACAAAAATAATAAACTAAATCGAAAATAAGATATTTCTACCTTCATGGTGCTTGGACATTTATGTGTACCTCCAAATGGTACATCATTATTTGCACATTGATTAATATCAACAGATGATATATTAAGATAAGTGACAAATAAATAACTAGAACAAAATAAGGAATCAATAAATATCAATAAAATTTTTCTTAAGGTTTTTTTTTACTGATTTGTTAAAGGCAAAATATTTGCCATAATAAAACTTTCATTTTTATTTTTTGTACATAAAACTGGTCCAAGCCACCAACCATTTGTAGTTAATATACGTTGTGGATCATGATTCATTGTTTCACGTACATTGGACATTGTAAAAGTTTGTAAAATAGTATCTTGCTTAACAATATCATCATTAATTTTTTCATAATCAATTACATTTGATGTTGAAGTATTCATACGTGAATATTTAATTAAATATGATCCAATATTATCATATGATAATATTCTTAAATCGATTTCTTTTATATTTGTTTGGCTGGCTAATAATATACGTATATCTAAACTAAAGTCATTACGAAATTTTTCTAATGTATCATCCTTTATTGGATTTGATGTTTGATTTAAATTCATACGAATTTTTTTCGCTGTTCGTTTTAATGCACTTATTTCATCTTGAAATGATTGTTCAATTAAAAGAATAATTTGTGATGATAAAGAATTTTCTGATGGTAATTGATATTTTCCATCTAATGCCATATTTATTGTACAATCAGCTAATACAGATGAACTTCCTCGATGTAATAACATTCGACGTAACATATTTGTATAATGTTGTTTATCATTAATGTTTGGAATTTGCCTTTTTAGCCGATGATTTATTGATGTATGTGAATTTTTTGTATGAAAAAAAATCAAAAAACTAATAATAAATATAAGAATAAATATCATTAAATATGAATAAATTGATATACAATGAAAAACCGATTGTTTAGGTTTTGAATTTAACATGTTATTATTATTATTATGAATATGATGTTGTTGTTGTTTTTTTTTTTAATTAAA